TGCTCAGCTTGTTCGAAACGAGTTCCCAAGTGGCTGGGGAAACATCGGGAACTCTGCTGCATAGCAATCCCCTTTGGGAGCTGGTTGTCATTTTCTACCAGCTTTCAGGCGCCGGATGTTTTTGTTTTCTTTTGTTATTGCCGTGTGTGAAAACCGACCAGTTGTTTTCTCTGCAAGCCTGTAAAAGGCATTCTGCTGCACCTCACCCAAAGCTTCTTGCGGCACCCGTATATCCAGCAATGAACTGAATTTAAATTCACGTGTGTGTGTGTGCCGTGCTGACATGACTAAGGTACCAGAGAGACCGGGCTTATGCTGGTGGCGCGCTGGTCCACCAGCTGCACAGTGGCAACCCCTTTTTGTCCTTTCTTTTTGGGCGCGTTTCCCTTTGAAGAAGATTTGCAGCCGGTCTTTGCCTCGGTGTCCCTTGAAAAGCACGACACCCAGTCAACTCCTGTCAACCTCCCTGCAACGCCTTGTAAGTAGGGTTGCCAACCATGTAAGCTACCACCCCCAGACAATCCAAGAGGCGTCACACCTTGATTTTATGCAACCATCTAACTTGACTAAAGACCTAAGTACCAGTTAAACCAAGCTCACCTCCAAACCATCTACGTCCTTCTCCCACGGAGAAAAACAATATATATATATATATATATAAACACCTCTGAGAGGTCCTGGTTGTGGGCACCACCTGCTCGGTGGACCAGCTGGCACCCTGGCTGCTGGCACCACATCGCTTCTCGTTGCATCTGGAGCTGGAGCCCTGCTTGGAGCCTGAGGCGAGATCCGGATCCGAACCTGTGCAAAGGGACCTAAGTGGGCCTGAACTTGATTTTGGAACCCTTTGATGGACTTCAATTGGGTGGGGATTTCTATCCACCAGCCACTTTTGAGTCGAGGTGGTACCCTCTGAAGATTCATAGCCAAATTGGACACAGGGTTCTACATTGGGCATCTTCAAATAGCGACAAGGCGAGACCCGGAATGCAAATGGGCGGTGCATCATCGCTCTGCATGGCCATGTTGAAATGTCCAAATGTTTGTTCGTGAACGTCGAGGGACCCCTGTCCAGTGTAGAAGCTCAACTTCTTTGGACAGGGTTCCCTTCTAGACCAACAAGAGGGGCGGATTGCCTGGTGCACGCTTTGTGTTCAACCAAGGGGCTCATAAAGGCAAACTGGTTGATGTACGTAAGCGTAAGTCTAAACAACTGCCTTCCTTATTCTCTTCTGATCATGAGTTTGCTTTCGTTAAACCTACCCACAGCCCCATTCTACTTATTTCCGCCCTTCAATTGGCCGGGTTCATCCCGACCTTTTTCATCTTAAACCTCACCCCGCCAAGAGGAAACTGTCGCAAATTGTCCCAAAGAGAGATGTGGGGTTGTCTCCAATCTGAGGGAACCCTCAAAATGAGTGGCTTTCCTTTGTGTTCCCTTTAGACCATCCCAAGAAGGGAACCTTCTTCCCCAGAACTAGCTCCCATTTTAACTTGCTTTGGCTTTTTGGGGGTTTGTTTTCCACTACCCAGGCATTTCCACTAACCAGGCAAACCCTAGGTTTTGTTGGTTGCTGGGCTCCTAATTCCAGTCAAGCCCCGAAGAGAAGACGAGCGCCCCACGTCTTCGCATCAGGAGCTCCAGGAGCTCTTGCACCGGCAGTGCCGCCACTTGGCCCAAAGCGGCGCGGCAGCGGAGGCGGCCAAGGCCTTGCGCAAGGCGAGAAGTCCGAGCTGGCGACGCTTTTTGGGATGTCCAAAAACACACATGATGACTAGGTCCCCCAGCTAGGTGCCCTTGTACCCCTGTTTTGGGGGGAGTAAAAAAAAGAGACCAGCAACCAGCTTACTTGAAGGGATGTAAAAAAATAAAATAAAAAACAAAAAACAAATGATGAACAGCAAACAACTTAATTACCAAACCAATGATGACTAGGTCCCCCAGCCAGGTGCCTTTGCTCACCCCTTTTTGGGGGAGGGTTGCCCTATAAAATAGACTACATAAAAAGTTGGTACCCTTATTCTAACCTCTCTGCTGGAGAACCTAGATGAACAGCAAACAACTTACTTTAAGGGATGTGAAAAATAAATGGAGAAACAAAGAGCAGAGACGGCGAACATCGCCATGGCCAAAGCGCAGGTTCTTTGCTCCGGATTTCCAATCGCGGACACCAACCTTTGCATCTCTTTAGAAACAACATACAAACACGTAGGAGTGTCACTCTTATGGAGTTGGCCAATTTGCCCTCCCCGCATTGGGTAGGGCACGGGGTACTCCGAAGCCGACTTTGGTGGAGATGTTCGTCCTCCTGCGGACTCTTTGATACTCTCCCTCCCACGTTGCCCTCGCACCTGGGAGGGACATCGCCCCAATTTAAGAGGAAGCTGACTTTCCGGGTACGCCTTTCAGAGCACAGAAGCATGGGCTCCGGAAAGCATGGTTTTGAGAGCAGGGAAGACTTGGGGATGACTTTCCAGCCATAGCAGTAGCCCAGCCTTGGCCTCTTTGCTTAAATGCTAGGCCCAGAAAGCAGTACCCCCCACATATTTTTCTGTGGAGCCCTTTGAGTGGGCTGCCAGGGCTCACCACCGATGGTCTGTCCCCAGTTCCATTGGCCTGACGTGGTTGGAGGCCGAGCAGTTTGCAACCAGAGGAAGTAGGGGTTGAGTGCAACCTACTTGCCTGGCTTAGGGCAGGTTGGCCCGTTTTTCCCTGATTTTGAGTTCCCGGAGGCGGCCCAAAAAAAGAATCCGCTTCCGGAACTGCTGCCAGTGATTGATGGTACAGCCCCCAAACCGCTTCCATCGTGGCCTTCCCTAATTCAAGTTCCGTCCGCTGGCTTGGCAGGAGTTCTGCCCTGCCCTTTAGGGGTCCCATTTTCCTTGGCTGACTCAAGCACCCATTTCAAAGCAGATTCCTGTTCGTGAGGCCATGCTTGACAGGGCTAAAGATAAGGAGCCCTCTCATGTGGTGGGATGTGGTTCACCCGCGACATTGACGCAATCTATGTATTGCCTGTTTCTTTGTGCCGTGCTCCATTGACGGAAGTTTTGCCACCTTTTGTTTCGTTATGTGTGGTTCTGCTGGGTCCCCTTCCGTGGCCTGCCTGCGTTTGCCGTCGCTTTGCCTCAGCTCGGGGGCCGCGCTGCGGACGCGGCGGCGGCGGCGCGCCTGGCGGGTGTGGCGGCGGTGCGGCGTATGGCGCCATGGCTTTTTGGAGATGCGGAGAGTGGGAAGTGGCTGTGGCTCAAGATCAAACACCCAGGGTTACGCAGGTTTCAGTCTTTGGTTCCATTTGCCAAGGGTGCCATTTCAGAGGGTCTTGCCATCTTGGCCGAGCCCAAACGCTCAAGCGGGTGAATTTCCGGGAAAGATTTCTGCTGGCAATCAGGTTGGCGGAGATACATTTTGCGGTTTAGCAAACCATGGGGGAAGATGCCTGGCGCCAAAGAAGGAAGCAGTTTTAGGCACGGCATCAAGGGACCAGCAAAGAAGGGAGAAAGCAGGATCGTGCTGTAGGGCATGGACGGGGATCACACGCATATGTAACCTATGCCGTCGTTACCGCGAGCTGGCTCTTTAGTTGATGGTGTTTGGTGTTTGCTGAGCCAGCCATAGTCACCTACTTCGAACCTTGTCTTGGTCAGTGCTCGGTTGCTTCCAAAAATGCGGGCAGCAAAACAAAGGAGGCCAACATGAACGCACGTTGGATTCTTTTTAAGGAGAGATGCAGTTATCAATTATCAGCAAGGCGCCCATGTTGCAAGGAAGCTGAATCCAAAGGGTTGCGATTGCGATGACCGACCTTGCTTTTCTAATCTCTGATAACTTGACTTGACATTCTCATGCATTCTTCGCAGCCTTGCCGTTGTCCTACTCAGTGATTCCATTTCCATGTATTGTAGGCAACCAAGGAAAGTCCCCTTGAACATGGCTAGCATGATTTGATTACCCAGATCCTGACGCAGGTGCAAAGACACCTCCCTATTAAAAGGATTGATATCCTGCGTATGAGTCAACTGGGCGTTGGTCGTCCAGGATTCTGGCTTAGCCTATTTTTTTGTGAGTTCTTGTGGCGCGAATGTGAGAATTTGCCAATGGCGGAAGCAACCACTACCCCTTTCCAACAATCATGAAAGTGGACATGGGGCTTCACCAAAGGAAAGTGGTCTTTCCAAACTCTCCAGTCAGCTTCCTTTCTTGGAGGGAGGGTACCAAACCTGTTTCCTGACTTGGACCAACCCATTTCCTGACTTGGACCAACCTGACTCGCCCCTTACCCTACCAACAATGGGCCGTGAAGCGTTCTGTTTATACCGCCACTCCCCCAACGCCTTGTCGCAGGTGCAGCTTTCGGAAGCGGCGCCGCAGATCACGGCAGAGGACCTCAGCTCAGCGGTCGCCAGCCTCAGCCGGTCGAAAAAGCGGGAGCGGCCGCGGATTGGAGAGCGACTGATGCCCGGAGTGCGACAAGTAAGGGGGGGGAGGGCGTGTGGGTGTGGGTCAAAATTAAACCACCAGGGGAGCACAGGGTTCAGTCCATGTTTTCATTTACCAGGGTTCCAATTTGGGTACCGATTTTCGACCCACAGCCAAATCAGGGGGGGAGGGCAGGTGAGGGAATGTAAGGGATTGTTCAAACACCGGACTCTTCAGTGTCGATGATTCAGGTTGGAATCGGTTGGAAGCGACTTTCAGGTCGGTGGCACGTGGGACCCGGGTTGTTGGGCCCCAAAGCACGGAGAATGGGGCCAGCGCTCTGGAAAAATACAGACCCAGATTCTCGCAAAGTCTTGTAGAATTCCTCCACCTTCACACAAACTGAGACAGCAAAAGGACAATTCAACAGATGTCCGCATACTTGGGGTGTGGCCTTTTGTGACGGTACCTTGTTTCATGGTTTTTACAGCGGCACCGAAACCAGTACCACCGTTTTGGGGAGGTCCCCTATAGAAACACACGCCAAAAATTGGGGTCCGAACGATCGGACGGCCGGCAGGGTGCAGCTCACGGCGCAGTGGCGGGCCAAGGTCCTGTGCGCGGCATATGAGGCCGGGGAAAAAGGGCCCCGGGCCCATGGGTCTCATTGGGTCTTTGGTTTGGTCCCCAGTGCCCTTTCTCACGCCTTTTAAGGGGAGGGTTCCCCTAGTAAAATAGACTACAGAAAAAAAAGGGTACCCTCATTCTAACCTTGTGGGGGACCTAGTTTAGTTTGGTACCGGTGGGTCCCACTTTGGCGCGCCATTCCAAAAAGGACCGTGTTCTTGGTGGACAAAAATCCCGACCTGAAAGATGAGAGATGTCCCCGGGTTTGCTGCGCACATTGCATAAAGCATTGTGTTATTGTTTTTTACCATTCCCCAATGAGTCCTATTTTAAAGGGTACGCTCCGCGGCCTCTCTTTTTTTTTTGTGTGTGTGTTTGTGTTTGTGTCAGTTTCGGTTGTTTCTCCAAGTGTGTGGCATGATGGCCGAATCAATCCGTAATGCTTATGCGAGGTGATAGTGGTTTCCCTTGTTCACGGGTCCCACTCGAGCGGCTCCTCTCCGGCACCCACCCGACTTGTACATATCCTTTCAGTCCCATCAGAAGCTACTTGAACCCAGAGGTTCCTTATCTTGACACATGAGCCACACTTGTGTTTGGGTTCTTTGGGGTGAACACGACGAGCAAACCTATGGCGCTGGGGCACGTATAAGTCCAAGCGAAAGCGATGAGCTTGATTCGGGTTCCAGCTGTCCTGGTTGCTTGCAGCACCTTTCCAAAAGGCCAAGTTCACGTGGGTTTCCTTTAGCCGCGCTCGGCAACAACTACTTTTAACGGAGAGCGCTGGGGTTTTTTGACCTGCAGGTCCCGATGGCGGACAACAGCCCCAGCCGGGTCCCCCGGAAGTGGAGATGGAATCCAAACCCGCGGGGGCCGTGATGGCACCCCTCCAGCGAACTTGGAACCTGACTGGAAGGTCCTGGAAGACGTTTTTTTCCTCCAAAGGAGACCCCCTTTGGTGGGTTCCATGCTGGTGGAGGGCACTTTATAGGGCAAGAGGAGTGTTCTTTATCCTGAGGGGAGTTCACCCTTGCCCTTTCTCATTACATTACTTGCGCCTGCCTGTACATTTGACCTCCTTTGTAGCCGGTCCATTCCAGTAGCTAGAACAAGGTCTAGCTGCTTCTGTTTGGGCCGGAGCACGCACTGAGAACATGACAGAGCAGTAGGACATCAAAGGCAATCGGACTTTGCAACGATCCAATGCACTAGGACACATCAGAGCCTGAGCAACGAAACCAATCTCAATTCGGGTTTGTGGTTTGTTCTGAGTGTGCATTCACGGGGTGGCCTCATTAGCACAGCTCTTACATACGGTACAATGGGCCGGCATGAAGGCCAGTTTCGGAGTGAGCTGGGCCGAGCGGGCAAATCTTGGCTATGGTGTTGGAGGTTTGCAGGCGTGCCACCCCTTGATGCCCGCGCGAATCTGTATGGCCTGTTTACTTCCCTGCTGGCTCGCCGGCCAGATTCACCATGACCCACGGCCTTTCAGCGGTCAACTTTAAGACATGGTGCTGGGTTCACTGTGCAGGAGCGCCAATCAGCCAGTCACAGAGTCATTCGGACCGAAGTCGATGATATCGACAGTTGCTCTGTTGCTAGCCTTGATTTCTACAACCTTTCTGAATATCTGTGGTTTGCTAGATAATGCGGCTGCTACAAGTTACATTGTCTCACCATCTTGGCCAAACAGCTTGAAGCAGTTCTGAGGGTCCTTGACCAGTCCTGCGAGTCCAGGTGCAAGTGCTGTGGACAATGCCCTCTACACCGAAGCTTGGCAAGGTTATTCCCGGGACACGTCCAAGCACGCATCCAGGAGCATGGGACAAAGGGTTCACCTTCGATATCCCTTTAGACAAGTCAATGCAACAAGACGTCTGACAGAAGGGATTCCAAGCACTAATGCAGGGGTGCCAACCTTATGTTCAACCGTAGCAGGGCCTGCTTAGCAGGGTATGTACTTTGGTGAACCACCCTTTAACTTGGGGTTGAGAGGGATGGTCATGGATTCAGTGCTGCTTCAGGTTACGCATCCACGACGGCGATGGTCTACAAATAAGGAATTCTAGGCAACCAATCAGTGAGTCAGGAACCATGACCAGGGACCACATGTTGTGTTTGTTCTGAGGGTTCCCTGTTGCCGCTCGTTTAGAGGGAACACAAAGGACACTCGCCATTTTGGGTCCCGCGATTTTGCGACCAAAAGGAGCATGTTTGGCCAGGGCATCGGCTTTGCCGACGGCAGCAACGGCACCTGTGACGTCGAAGGCGCAGAGGGTTGGGTGCTGAAAAACCTTCTGGGTTTTTCCTACACCTTTGAGGCCTTTTTGAGCATGGTAATTTTAAAGGTCTGCTGAATCTTTCCAACGCCTTTGAACATGGCAAATTTATCGGTCGTTTCTGGACCGGCATTCAAACCTGTCCATTGTCGTTGGGGCATCAGCGGAGGTAGTCTACTGGACTTCGGCCGGTACACAAATGCTTCAACTACTTATGTATCCCTTCGAGACCCGCTCAGAGGGGCAGGATGCTTTTGTTGAGTGTCATCTGGTGCAGGAGTTCTACTTTTTGGTGTTGGGATAGACAGTGAGGATCTTGATGCTCACTTACAGTCTACCCCTCTAGCGACATGGGCTTGCAGTGATGCTCAGGTTATTTCTGGGTGTCACACGTAAATGATCGCAGCCGGCTAACTAGAGCTTGGGCAAAGACACTGGTATAGGCGCAAGAACGCAATCCAGCTGAAATCCTTTGAACATGTTACTGCAAGCCACAACGAAGAACAGAAACAGCTCTGTTTGGCTTTCCCTTCAAGGACAGTAGGGGCGGTGGTGGTAACAAGTTGGGTAATGGCCAAATGGTGCTGAACAGAAAAGACATGACAAAGGCAACCTCGTTTTGGGTCGCGATCCCAGTAAAAGCAGCACGACAGCACAGCATGTGACCACCACAGATTCCTAAAATGGCGGATGCCAATGTTTGACAAACGGACTGATTGCTTTCGCTGGTCAGAAGACGCGCTTGGACTTTTGCCACTGTGTGGCATGGGACCTCCCCCTTGTGAAGTCAACGAAATGAGTTGATGTTTGAGCAACAACGACAACGCATAAGTCTGAAAACACCGGCCCAATGTTGAGGCATCGGTTGTAAACCAGTCTCACGTGAGTTTTGCACAAGCCGCTGAGTCCTGTTGGCTTGTACCACTTGTTTGCCCTATTTCCTGCAGCTGTGCTAATCCATGTTACCAGCAAAACCTAGCCACGTGCACACGCATACATGCACAGGCACATTTGCTCGTGCGCATGCTCGCGCGAGCGCAGATATGAGGGACCCCACCTCCGGCGTTCAAGCGCCAATGTGCGGAGGAATCCTGGTCAGCAGGTTTGCCGGCGAGGAGTTCGAGGCAGGATGCCACAAGTGACTGGAGCGGTGTTGGCTTGCTACTGCGTTGTCATTCCTGTTAAGTGTATTGCACGACTCTATACATGTTTGGCTTGGTAACAGGAAACACCGGCAGGATACCAGTTGAGCAAGACTTGCTCAAGCGGTGAGGTGGAAAGATTGTCCCCAATAAGTTGATGCAGACCAGCAGAACTCCAAAGCAGGACTTTCTGGGTCGTGCGACAAAGTAAGTGCCAACACACACACACACACACACACACTCCCGCAGAAATGAGCTGGAAGGACAGCCTTTGTTTGCTTTACGTTTGTTCTAGTTGTTCATCCCCTCAAAACAAAAGCCCAGAAAGGACCCAGGCACAACCAGTTCCGAGGTCCGTCCACAGTGAGTGCGCCTTTGCTTTCTCCAGTCCGAAACTGGAGCCGTTTCCATTCCAAGCTATCACTTTGGTGTGACTTTGGCCAAATCCTGGGGCCACTTCTTGCCCCTTTCCAGTTGCCGGGCAAGCTTCCCAGGTGCGATGCAAAGTGGTGGGCGGCGACCAGGTGTTTGGCCAAGGCGTGGGTGTGAAGAACATGAAGCTTTGCCCCCCACAATTTTGCTGGGGACTTCGAAGCTGGCGGCACACTGATTCTGCGGGCACATGCGCCCATATTGTGGCATATGCCTGCTCATTGGCTATAACAGAGCGCATGTGCTGGAACTCTTGAAAGCATGTGAGGCTCTCAAAATTACCATTGGGTTCTTCTTAAACCACCATCTTGAGTTAATTTTGCTTTTAAAAAAAACATGTTTGCTCCATCTTGAGGTAGTTTTGCGGATGTCACCTGACCTAGTCGCTTCAGGTCCCGCGATTCCCCGTTCGCCCGGAGGCCGAAGAGCTGTGCTGCGGCCGGTGCCATTGCTGCTGGGGGGCCCAGGGCGGTGAAACCACGGGGGCTGCGGAAAGGCGCCCGGTGGTTGGATGCGAAAAGGGGCCTGAGCTGAAACGGGGGGCACATATGTGGACGATCGATCTCTTTGTTCTTTTCTTTTTTTCCCCGGGGATTTGATTTCAAGCTGGGAAGAAACGTACAGAAACCAACCAGATGGTTGGTATACCAACATGTTAGCAAGACGCAGGACAATACCTTTTCCTAGAGTTCGAACTGGTGACAAGCCAGCTTGAATGAGGAAGGCCTGAACATGCTTTAGTTGTTTATGGGAACTTCTACAATTGTTGCATACTTGATAGTTTCTAGAAACTTCATGAAACTTATCCATTTCGGTTGCCTTGATTGAGTTTACTGGGATGGAAGCAAGTTATGCTCTTCGTTGAACGAGCTGAGAGCAATGACACCTTCCACGTACACGCATATGCATACCCAAGCGCTGCACACATACATTTGAGAGTGCATTCACCCGGACGAAATTGGTAGTCCTCAGGTACGCAGAATAGACACGAGCTTCGCGTCTGAGGATGGGGTGCTATGCCGACTTTGACAACGACCGCGTGCGGGCCTCGTTCGGATGGGATTTTGCTCGGAAAGCCAACGGATGGCTTTGTCAAA